CCTGTACCTTATAAACAGTCATTTTCAGTTATGATACCAGATCTTCTAGACAAAAACCTGTAAGTGCACTTGTAACACAATTTACTTCTTAAAATATTGGAAAGTTTTATTTCTTTAAACTGGTAAATTGTTATACAGGGTTTAAGTTCTTAATTTTTGTGCTGTGTGTTCATAGCTATATTCCCCAGGGAACTTGTTACTCTGGGAATTCTATTTAATGACGATACTTCCCCAGTGAAATGAGGTACAAAGGATATTAAAATGAAAGAAAAGGAGATGATGCATTTACTATGGATTATGTTTGAAGTGTTAGATGACTAAGTATAAAGAGCATCCAGATTAAGTCCTTAGTTGGAACACTTGCTTCACTATATTCTGGTCAACTGCTAATCAGGTTGGACTGAGCTGAGCTGATCTGTTCTTCTTTCTGAAATCTATTCAAGTAAATAATTAACAATAAAACTTGTAAAGAAAAAAAAACCCTTCTCACCACTGAATCAATATACAACATGACAGATGAAAAAAAAAGATTGAAACTGTCAATGACTTCATCTTAATTGGAGTCACAATCAATACACTTAGTACTAGCAGAAGATCAGAAGACACTGCCCTGGAAAACTGCAGTCAGAGACCTCTCCAAATTATTGAGGAGGAATGATGTTAGTTTGAGGACTAAGGTGTGAATGATTCAAGCCATCATGTATCTTGTCAGTCACTTGTTATGCTGCTGAAAGCTGGGCAATGAATAAGGACAGAAAAGAATCGATTGATGCCTTTGAACTCTTGTGTTGGAGAAGAATATTGACCATCCCATAAACTACCAAAATAACACACACATATTTGAAGTAGGTGCAGCCAGAGTGCTCCTTGGAGGCAATGATGATGGAGCTTCATTTCACATATTCTTGGCATGTTACTAGGAGAAGCTATTCCATGGAGAGAAATGTCATGCTTGCGAAGGTTGAAGGATGGCAAAAGAGTGGAAGATCCTCAATAAAACGGGGTGACATAGTGACTGCTGCAATGGACTCAAGTGTGTCAGAGATGGTAAGGATGGCACAGGATAGGACAGGATAGGACTGTTCAGATCTGTTGTGCATAGGGTTACTATGAGTAATACTCGACAACACCTAACAACAATAATAACAAGGAGACAGCCAGTATAAATATTTTGATTTAGTGGAAGTTACCAGTCATAACGTAAAACTAGTAAAGGGGCATTCTATTTGACTTCACTTTCTTCTGAACTTGGTTTCTGTGAATCTGATAAATTTACTAAGTGAAAATTCTGAACTTGTAGACTTGGGGATGAGACAATGCACCTGTGACTATCCAATCACACTGGTAAAATGCAAAGAAGCCAGGTATATGTTCTATTTAACCATGTACTTACAGATTGCTTGCTATATGATACTACTACTTTAATATGATGCATAAAAAAAAGCAAAATAGCATCTTACACTTTAGAGAGTTTACAGTCTAGCTTCTATTTAAAACAGGTAGGAGTATTAACAAAGAAGCAATTACACAAAGCGGTCAGCACTGATTGCTCATTATGAGGAAAAAGATGGGAAAATTTTTTTCACTGTATATTGCCTTTTTAAAATTTCCTGAGTGCTATCAATATTTTCTTCTGTAATTCTTATGATTGATAATTGTTTAATAGTTAAAAATCAACCCTCATAAAGAGTCCAATAACAATTCCCAGATTACATGAACTAGTACTAGACTTCTATTAAGAATAAGGTTATTGTTAGGTATCATCAAATCAATAACGACTCACAGCAACCCTCTGAGCAATAAAACCCTGGAGGTACCCTGTACCATACTCATGATCTCTACCATGTGCAGGCCCACTGTTGCAGTCACTATATCAATCCACCTTGTTGAAGTTCTTCCTCTCTTTTGTTCACCCTCTATTTTCCCAACCTCGATGTCCTTATTTATGGGCTGGATCGTCCTGATAACAAGCTAAAAGGATGGTGAAACTTTGTCTCCCTTACTTCCACATACCTCCTGACAACATGTTCAAAGTATGTGAGATGGAATTTCACCATCCTGGTCTCTAAAGAGCACTCTGGTTGCACCAGTTCTAGGGCAGAATTGTTTGTCTTTCTGATCGTCCACGGTATATTCAGAACTCTTCTCCAAAACCATAATTCAAAGGCACTGAGTCTTCTGCCATCCTTATTCATTTCCAATTTTCAGGAGCCTATGAAGCAACTGAATGTGGCTTGTATGTATCAGGGAGCTCTGGTGGCCCAGTGGGTAGAAGCTAGACTGCAATCCTGAAGGCACGTCATTCACATCTACCAGCAGCTCTGCAGGAGGAGGATGGACAACATCCTCCCTTGTGACTAACAGTCTCTGAAAACCTACCGGAGGTTCAGGTATGGGGTTGTTCTGACTTGACAGCACACAACAACAACAACAGGGGCACCTTAGTCATTAAATTGACATTATTCTTGCTCTCTGAATTTTGAAGAGGTCCTTAACAGCTTACATTTCCAATGTTTTATGTCTTTCAATGTCGTAACTTCTGCTACCACGGGTGCTAACTATGGATCTAAATAAAATGAAACTGCTGAACGTTTCAGTCTTTTCTCCATCAATCATGATGTTGCCCATTGATGAGGAATTTTGTTCTCATGATATTGAGAAGTAATCTATATTGAAGGCTTTAGTCTAATCTTCTTCAGTAGGTGCTTCAAGCCGTCTTCATTTTCTCCAATAAGGTTATGTCATCTGTTATTACGTAGGTTGTTAATGAATCTTCCTTGAATCCTGATGCCACATTCTTCTACATATAGTCCAGCTTCTCAAATGATTTGCTCAGCAAACAGACTGAATGGGTACAGAAAAAGAATACAAGCCTGATGCGCACCTTTCCTTATTTTAAACCATGTATTACCATGTTCTGTTCTAACAACGGCTTCTTGACCCATGTACAGGTTTTATGTGAACATAATTAAGTATTCTGGAATTTCCAGTCTTGTTAATGTCCATTTAGTCTTTTTATGATTCACAGTGGTCCATGTCTTTGCACAGTCAACAAAATAGAATATTTTCTATTATTCCATTTTTATCCAAGTTACATCTGACAACAATGATATCTGTATGTCTGTCAAAAATTATTTAAAAATACATACTGCATTATATCGTTTTAAAATAATTTGAGCGCTGAAAGAACAACGTATATTTTGAAACATGTCAAGTATTAACACCAAATTCTAATTCACTCCCCTAAGGCTTCAATCCATTGTGAAACCTGCTTTATGCAGATGATACAATCTTGCAGAAAACAAAGAGGGCTTGAAGCACTTACTAATGAAGCGCAAAGGCTACAGTCTTTAGTATGAATTAAACGTCAACATAAAGGAAATAAAAACTCTCACAACTCAACTAGTATGAAACATCAAGAAAAATGGAGAAAAGGCTGAAGTTGCCAAAGATTTTATTTGGGTCCACAATCAATATCCATAGAATTACCAATCAAGAAATCAAATTATTTTATTACAATGTGCCTATCTGCTCTCAAAGATCTTTTTAAAGTGCTACATAACAAAGGTACCTGTTTAAATAACAGCTATGTGTGCATATGAACGTTGGACAAAGGATAAGGAAGACAGAAGTATTGATACCTTTGAAATATGGTGTTAGTGAAGAACATTAAATAAGTATTCCAAGAGAATAAACAAATGTGTGTTGAAGAAGTGCAGCCAGAATGTCCTTCAAATCAAGGACAGTGAGATTTAATCTCACGTACTTGGGGCATGTTATCAGGATTGGCCAAACTCTGGAATGGACATCATACTCAGAAAAACAGGTCAGTTAAGAGGAAGATCATCAATGAGATAAGCGTACACAGTGACTGTGACAATAAGCTTTAGCACAGGAGAGACTCTGAGGATGGTGCATGTCAGAGAGGGTTGTATACAGTGCCACTGTGAGTTATATTCAACACAACGACACCTAGCAACCACCACCCTGTTCATAATATAATGCTGGTACTAGTTCATTTAATAATTCAGGAATTGGTATGGAACACTTTATGTAGTTAGGCTTACTATGTGTGTATGTACATCAGATATTTGTAACCTAGGAATTGACTGTATTCATTTTAAATATATCTTTAATTCAAAAACTAGGTTTTTTTAAAAGGCCATTTTTAGTAGTTTATTGTTAATAATGAAGAACGCTATAGGGAATCAATCTTTTTATTCATAACTTCCTCTATTGTAAGCTCATGAGAAAAATCAAGTTTTAAGGAAATTTTACAAGCATTGTGATTAGTTTAAATGTGGCATCCAATCACTCAAAAATTTCTTGAAAGGCTTGTTAAGTATACAACTTGCTTACTTCACAAAATATCTAGACATAATTTGACTCCAGTAAATCCAGGATAATGTCTAGGATTTTGTATTTTTTTCCCCTATATGCCTGTTATTTGGCTGAAGGTTAGGCCAAGGTTGGCAGTTCCAATCCACTCAAGCAGTATTGTGAAAGAAGGACCTTTGCAAACTGCTTCTGGAAAACTATAGCAGAGAAAATCCTATGGAATTCAATTCTACTCTAACATGGAGTAACCACAAATTGTAATCAATTTGACAGAAACAGGTAGGTTTAGTTTTTATGATGTGAAAATTTATAGAGAAAATTATTCACATTAATAATTTTAACATATATTAACTTTAATACGGTAGTGATAATAATTTCTGCATATATTTATTCAACAACTGATAACCAAATCCTTATTAAATTCCAGGCACCATTCTAGGAGATTCAGCAAAGAACAGAACATTCTTTATGGAAAAAAAAAAAAAGTAGAAACACTTTGGTAGTCCAAACTGAAAACTGTTTCCCTGCAGAGTCAGATATATATGAATCTATGTATCATTAGTTTATAAAAAGTTGTTAGAAGACTCAGCATCTCTGAAAAACTGATTAAGTATACAAGAAGAAATAAAAATATGAAACTTTAAAATTAATAAATTGTTTACCTTTGAATTCCTTCAAGAATATCCTTCACAGCTGCCATTAACTTTTGGAGATAAATAAATGCTTCTTCAAATGATGCTATTTTTGAAGTACTCGGAGCTGAACTAGAGCTCAATCTTTGAAAAACATCTGTGCTAAAATAGAAAAAAGAAAAGGCATTCATCAGTACACATGCATATTTACTGCAATACAAATACTGCAAAGGATTTATAAGCTTTAATTGTCAGTATATAAATAATGTTAATATATTTAAATCAGACATAAAAGATAGTGACATCAAAGTCCTGGCTCCCAGACACAAAAAGGATCTAGGTCAGAAACATATTGGTTTGGAATAATACTGTTAAAGCTGTAAGAATAATATTTCACTCCAGAAAACCCAGGAGATGGTGGAGGGGAATTCCCTCAACTAAAATATGAAATAATTTGTTGAAACTGAAAGTTATAAATGTTTATATACTTATTCAAGTAATTATACTTCTAGAAATCCATTTAAATAAATAATAGTTATTTTCTATAGGGAATTGATGCCTTTGAGCTGTGGTGCTGGAGAAGAATGTTGAATGTATCATGGACAGCCAGAAGAACAAACATGTTTGTCCTCAGAGGGTGAAGCTTGGCTGCTCTTTGGAGGCAAGGATCTGAGGCTTTGTCTGGCATATTCTGGACATGTTGCAAAGAGGGACCAGTCCTTGGAGAGGGACATCACACTTGGAAGGGTGGAGGGAGAGAGAAAGAAAGGGAGACCATCAATGAGATGGAGTAATACAGTGACTGGAGTAATGAGGGTAGGTGTGTCAGAGATGGTAAAGTTGGCAGGGCTGTTGTACATAGGGTCACTATAGGTCGCAAGCAACTTGAGGGCACATAACAACAACAATTAGTAGCACCCTAAATGTCAATATGTTGTTGCAGCTATTAGTCGTCATGGGGAATAGAACAAAACAATTCTCAGTCGTTTATTAATCTTTACAACCTTTGGCATCTATGAGCCAATATGGCAGCCAATTGACATAACACTGAACAATTATTAAAACAATGTTTACACGATCAGTAAAATTTTGGTTTTTAAAAAATTTAGTTTTTTAAAAAACATCAAAAATAGAAAAAATATTTTTATAATAACAAACTACACAAAAAAGCAAAATACATGTCTAAAAACCAAGCAAAGTGTACATAAAATATTAATAAGGTTGATAATGGTTGCCTCATGCAGTAGCTCTATCTCCAAGTCGGTACCTTATAGTACTTTCCAAGGCATTTTTTTTATTGTGGCAAAATATATTTAAATTCATCATTTTGCCCACTTTAAAGGATACAATTCAGTAACATTTAGTAAATTCCCTGTGTGGTACAACTCCCAGCACCATCTAGTTCCAGAACACTTTTATTACCCAAAAAGGAAACCTCTTCTCTCTCATTTCCTCCTATCCTTCTACTCCAAGTATTTAACAACTTAACAACTATGCTTTCTGTCTATAGATTTACCTCTTCTGGATATTTTACATCAACACAATTATTATGCTAGCTTCTTTCATTTAGCATCATGATTTCAGTGTTCACTCATCTTGTAGAATGGAGCACTGATGGCCATAGGGAGCTGCACTTCACACACAATGTCCACATCTCTCAAGACAAAGATGCGGATCCTCCCCCCATGCAATTTGCAGCTTCTGAAACCCAGTGAAGGGTCAGTCACAGAGTCAGTTCCAAATAGGTAGTAATGAGAGAGTTGTGGTATAGTTATAATCCATATCATATTCTGGGTCATGTGGTAATTCTCTTTTAATTTTTCAAGGAACCACCGGAGTATCTGCCACATCAGCAAAGCCATTTTTATGTTCCTAGAAGCATGAAGACATTGAGGCCTTCCACCAACTTTTGCAGTCTGATATTGGCAGAACATTAATAATAACTGATGGCTGGAACGCAGAAGTTGGAAATTAAGAAAGATGGGTAGTAAGAAAATATAGACATGGTGGCTGGAGATCAAATGCTAGAACTTCATACAATCAATGATTTATTTATTACAAATACCTTTCTTAAAAAAAATAACTGACAAGTATAGGCATAGATGTGACTTGTCCACAAAGAGACATCAAAAATCATGAATAAAATTGACAATATTGCTGGAAAAAGTCATTGGAGATGTTCAATATTGACTTTTTTTTTTAGGTTTTTTTTTTTCCTTCCCCCTTTATTATTATTTTGTGTGCGTGTACCGTCAAATCAGATCTGACTGGTACAGGAGGACATTGCGCCTCCTTCTCCGGCAGAGCATCTGGTGGATTCGAACCGTCAATATTGACTCTTAAAACCAAGCCACAGGTTGACTGTGGTACAGATCACTACTCACATACAAGTCAAAACTGAGGATGAAGAAAAATAAGTTCACAAGAACAAAAATACAAACTTAAGTCTATCCCAATTTAAACATCACCTAAGGAATATATTTGATATACTGAACAATAATGACCAAAAATCAGATGTGTTGTGAAATGACATTACTCATAGAAAGAGCAAGCAAAGAGGATAACCAAGATATGGATAAAAGTAAAAAAGGGGAATGAGAAGAAGGGCAGGGGACCAGCAAGTGAAGAGGGAAGGCAATCACTAAGAAAACAGCGTTTGGGGAAGGGGGCAGGTGTGAAGAAATTAGTAAAGAGTCAATGTGGACTTGAAAGGACTGGGTAATAGTAGGCATAGATCAATCTTGTAAAACACAACGTATATGAATGATTATTTGAAATGTCATGTGAACGTCAATGATACAAAATGTTTAAGAATTTTGTACGCAAACAGAAACTAAATAAAGTGGGGGAGAAACTGCATATCAAATATCTGATAGAGTTTATATTTCGAATATGCAAAATATTTGTATAACTCAATAAAATTAATACTTTCTAATTTGAGGAAAAAAGGGTTATTGTGAAGACATGAAAGAAATGAAAGATCAAAACAGATGCTCGAACCACAACAAGATAAAAGTAAATAATCCAATAGAAAAATGGGCACAGGATATGAACAGGCACGTCACCGAAGACGACATTCAGATGGCTAACAAACACATGAAGAAATGC